TGCCAAGTTGACAATTTGAAAGGCCTCTCATTAGTCATAATTTTGACTTCTTAGAGTGCAAAGGATTATAAGAAGACAGTTTGAAAGCAAGAAGAGCTAAATGAGCCAAACAAAAAAGCAAAGGCCATGAAGAAAGGGAAAAAGAAAGATCTAGGAGATTGGCAACACTTAGATATTTTTGCTGAGATTTTAAGGGTTGAGGCATCTCCTATTTGTCTATAAATAAAGAGAAGGGCCAGCAAAATGGAGAGAATTAGATAGATTTATAGATTTTAGTTTTAAGTTTTCAGTATTTACTTTCCTCTACACTTTTATTTTCTTACTTTCCAAATAAGGCTATTTTGGTAGCCGATTTTCTTTTATTTTTCATGAAAATTTAACTTTCTTGCTTTAATTTTCAGTGTCTTGCTTTAATTTTCAGTGCACTTTATGATTTCTCTAATAAACGTTTCAAATCTTCAAGTTTTATTGTTCAATTTCAATTGTTTTCATGAGTTGTTCAAATCTGGTTTGTAATTCAAGGTTTTGACCTCTTTACAGTGTTTTGATTGGTTCTTGATCAAATCTAGCTTGTTTTGAGCCAAATTTTTTTTCTTAGATTTTTACTCATAGTCTTTCAAAAAAAATTAGCTTCAAATTCGATCTGCATAGTTCCAAAAAAATTTCAAAAATTTTAGCTAAACACTAGTGGCAAAGTGAAACTTTGCATGAGTGATAACATAGCAAGGATATTCTTTCCATCTTGGAATTTCGTTTGTAACTCCTGCACTTTACACACTTTAATTCATGTGTTTACTTGTTAATTCTCAATTGATTACATTTATTTTCATGATTTTACCTATTGTTCGGATAGATTTCTTTAAGAATGATCTTTTTTTTTTATTTGTATTTGTTCTGAGTTTCTAGTTCAATCAGCTAAGATTTACGTTGTTTGATGCATTGTCTTCGTAGAACCATGTAGTAAACTTGTTGATTTAGCTTGCTTTAGCTCAGTTCCAATTTGTTCTTCCCAAAATATTCGAGATCTAAGTTTTCTTCCATTAATTCGGTAGTTTCCACTACAAACTCAGTTTCAGTTTTCAATTTTTTTTGTCAAATCTTGTAATTTCTGTTAAGTTTTTGTTCTTCAATTCATGTTCTCATGTAGTTCTCTTAATATTCTTTCAATTTTCAGTTCATATTCATCCAATTTTATATGGTTTGAATCCAGATTTCCAGCTTTAAGTTCGGATTTACAGATTTGCATCTATTTTCGAGTTTCAACCTTTTAGTACAAATTTTGTTATTTTCTTTCATTACTTGTAATCCAAATCTGTTTTTACTATAGATCATTTACTATTTTGTAATTTCAAATTTGTTTTCATTCACCTTAATGCAGTTTAAATTTAGTTTCACTTGTTACACATACGGTTTCCAAGCCTTGCACCCAGATTTCAATTTTGCTTGTGCTTTTAAAAGTCTGCAACACTACTGCTTTAGTTCCATTTAATGATAATTGGAACCTTAAGTTACATTCAGTATTTGTAAATTTTCAGTTTGTTTAGATCTCATTCTAAGAATCGTTTAGAAGTATTAAGGTAGTTAAAGCTAGTTGTTAGTTAGTTATTTTGGTTATGTCCACCTAGCTACTAATTTACTTGCTTCTTACAATTGGCATTTTAAATTTTAAATTAGAATAATATTGTAATTCATGTTTAGTTCATTGCATGCCACTATTATTTTTGCACATTTTTTTTGTTTTACTTAGTTTACATGCTACATGCTTACACCTTACTATACTTGTGTTAAATACTTTGTTTGATATTAATTATTTTAGTTAGTTTGATGTCATGTTTTCCTTTGTTTGAATGAACCAACTTTAGATAGGATGTAGGGATAATAGGTACTTAAGCTAGGAATCTCTTTAACTATAATCTTTGTGGGATCGACATCTAGACTTTTTAGCCTTTATTATTACTTGAACGCCCTATGCACTTGCGAAATATCCTAATCACTCGTATTATCAAATAAGATCCTCTTTACCACATGATTGTAGGCCATGACCTATATAATGATGGCATCATTATATGGGAATTGGATCCCTTTCAAATCTTTCGAGTTGAAAAATATCGACTCTTCTTTCTAACTTTTTTGCTTCTTGGCCGTGCCCCTAATAGCCATGACCATCCTCTAATCAAACTTTTTTTTATCTAACATTGAGGTATCACCAGTTAATTATATTAATAATTCTCGCAATGAACCTATTATCTACATTATTTCTCTTTTCATCCCTTTGGTCTACATTGTGGTCAGTATTACCTTAGTTACCATCTCTTCTTCTCTCCTTCTTATTTCTCTTTAATTATTTTTGTCTGTCTCTTCCTCTAAAATCTCTTATCCCTTGTCCTTATTGTCTTTGGTCCACAAACATATTTGATCTACCTCTTCTGATTAAATTCTCTATTTTGTTCATCAAGTCGATACAGTCCTTAGTATTATAGTCATAGTCTTTATGAAAGGCATATCTTTTCATCAAGTCTCTTATGCTATTTTACCTCAGTGACTTAGGTTATTTGAGCTCGGAGTCCCTTTCTATTTGCATTAAAACCTCCCTCATGAGGTATTCAATGTAGTGTAGTCATTGTATCTTCTATTTAGGCTTCTTACCCTATAGCCTATATTAAAGATTGTTGATTTTTTTTTTCCTATTTTATAGCAAAAATAAGGGAATATGCCTCTCTCACCTCGATGGTTTTTCATTGTAGTTTTAATATTGATATACTTTTTCACTATTAAAAACATGTTGGCCAAAATCTTCCATGATTTTAAGGAAAAGGTAAGCTTAAAGTGGTATTCCCTATCATACAGCCCGCTCGTCAAGTTACCATTATAACAGCTTGTTCTAAGTCTTTCACTCAAAAAGTCTTAGCATTAAAACACATGACGTACTCTTTCAAGGATTCATCTCTTCCTTGTTAGATAAACATTAAGCTTAATGTCATTTTTTTCATTTTGTCGACTGCTGACCAAACGGGATAAGAAAAAGTGATCGAGCTGCTTGAAAGAGGAGATTGACATTGGCTCCAAGTTGCTATACCATGACCAAGCCACGCCCTTAAGCATTTTGGCAAGTCTTTTGCACATAAAAGGCTCGTCGGTTCCCTATATCAACATGTTAGTTCGATATAGCTCAAGGTGATCAAATATATCAAAGGTACCATCGTAAGTCTACAAAGTGGGCATTTTAAATCCCTTCAGTGGCAAAGCTTGGTCAATGTTCTTGATAAATGGAAAGGTTTCCAAGAACTTTAACTCATTATTAAAGGTGGAGACTTTATTCTTCAATTCTTTTTCTATCGCCTCTATACGAGCTTTTAGATTTTTATTAGGTTGTGGTTCCAAGATAGCCAGTTTGGATTTGTAGGTGGTGGCATGTGTTTGGATATTCATGAGGTAATGGCCCAAAGGTGTTTCGTCCTTCTCAAGTGTCCATAAGGCAACACTGTCATCAAAAGTCGATAACTTTTGTGTGCGTGGGCTCTTCAAGGGTTGTAGGTTTCAATGCTTGAAGGTTTATGGTGGAGTCAAGTTTTGTATCATCTCTTTTAGGGACTATAATTGTTGGTGGGTGAGTGCCTCAAAGTACTCCATTATTGGAGCTATCCACGCAAGTCGATCAAGGTTTGGTTGGCTAAGCTAAGTATCAGTCCCAACTATAGCATTTTCTTTCTTATTGACAACTCTCTTTTTGGGTACCCTATTAGCTTAGCTAAACTAAAGTACCCATACCTAGGACACCAAAATGTTGGTGCCAAGCTATTTTGATGAGAGCAAAAACTTGAAATCATAGGGTAAGAGGTCAGTTAGTAGCAAAGGCTAGAGGTTTCTCTAGCGTTTATACTCCGACACTCAAGTCAATGCTTAATAAAATAGTGGGAATGAGAGAAAACCAGAAAGTAGATATGAAAAGTTAAAGTTGTTTGATAATACCTGAGAGGGATTATTTATATTTGTGTGGTGAAAACATTAGGCCTAAATAGCCCGAGCTCCAAGTAACGAGGCCAGGGCTGACGTCACTAACCCAAGTTGAGCTGGTATTCAACAACTTAATTAAAAGGTGACAAATTAGCATTTTTATGTGCCACCAGGTGACTAGCTGAGGTGGCCGAGTTGACATAGAGTCCGAGAACTCAGGCCAACTCGACACATCAGCTTAGTCAAATTGATTAAATTACCCCTATTGGGCAATGACTCACACTTTGGGGTAAAAGGCCCATTTTGTCCTTTGTACCATAAAATACCCCAACAAACATGTATCTTATAATCAATCCGATTGATAATATAATATATTATTAATGTCACGAATATTCTATAAACTATAATAACATATTCAATATGATATATAAACTTTAAAAATTTCTGATACGATACTTAAACTATGAATTTATTAATCAATATGATATTCAAACCTAACGTGACTATATTTCAAACAACGATATATAATAAACAAATAATCCTTCAAATTTCATATTACTTAATATATTTATAATTTAAATATCACATTAAAAATTTTTTAAATTTATATATTATATTAAATATTTTCTATAATTTAAAAATCACTCATAGTAACCCTAGAATATATATATATATATATATATATATATATTAACAAAATCTTCCTCATTGACCCTCCTTTAAGCGGCGTTCATAACCAGTGGAAGAAATGTTTCTAGAGCGCGCATCGAAGATCTTCTGAACATGCAACTGGGTGATAACATAATGATAGGGTCAAAGTGGACTGCGCAAGGATGGATATAACTTTGTCTTACGCTCTAATGCTAAATGCCATCTTACGGTACTACTATTCAATTACAGTACTTGAGTTTAATTTGACATGACTGCCAATTAGCACTAGCATTATATGAAGTCCGTTTGGTATCATGCACCTTAGTACAAGAGGGGGTTTCTGTAATTGGCTTCGTAAGCTCAGGCTTGGGATACTTTTGCTCAGGCAGAGGGCAATAATTGCAATCAAGCAGCACTTGACAGACCTTGATACTGAATTTGTATCACATACCAAGTTCTAAACCACTTTTAACCAAGCTTGAAAATCTATCTAAATAACTAAACAAACAATCTGGTACGCAAAGTACGACACAAAACTAAAATCACCACGGTCCCAAACCACTTTTGTACAGCTAAGAAGCCAAAATAATATGTTAAATTCTTATGATGGTTTGAAATTCAAGAAACGTTCATGGCTTCAGCATGATATTTCTCCAGCTCCTTGTCAAGTTCATCTGCTGACTTCTCCATAACCTTCTTTTTTCCATGGCCACGGCCTCTTCCGCGAGCACCACCACGGCCACTCCTCATACCCTCACGACGGCTGCAACAAGATCCAGAGACTGGTAAATTAGCAGCAGATATGAAAATAAAATCACTTTAAACAATGGCATTAAAAACAAGTTATATAACTTTCAATCAGTTCATATTCATCCACCACCTAAAATTTATAAAGAAAATAAGAGAAAATACAAAGGACGGATAATTCAATCTACAAACTCCAACATTGCAAGATGCCTTGCAACAGGTATCTGATTAACCAAGCTAAAAATTAAGGCAAAATTTTCACTCATTGAAAAATTTAAGGGCTGTATAATTTAACCACTTCATGATTTGGTTTTGGTTCTAACTTTTGGCTGTGGTTAAGGCCTTTCTTTCATAACCAGCTTGTTCTTTTTCCCATACAACACCCTGAGATTTCTTTTCATTCTCACAAAGGGATGTGGTGTTAAAATATTAATGAAATGACTTGAACACCTTACCTCTTAGCTCAAATTTTAAAATTACCACTGATATCAGCAATACTTACCAGAACCTTAGCATTATATCAATTATTAACCCAATCCCAAAATCGTTATTATGTAAGGTTGTAATACCTGACCCATAACAACCCAAAATCTTGCGCTACCCCAAAACTGGTCTTCAACAGGAAAAAAGAAATATCCCACACTGTATAATCACCTTGAAAGAAATGCAAATTTTGACTGCAGATGCAATAAGAATAATGTTCGCACATTCTGTTAAAGTTTAGATTTTGTTTCTTTTTAATCCCTTGTACAAAAAGAAAAAATTCCTAAAATCAATTTAGGACCCCATTCAAAATTTCTTCTAAAATTTGCAGAAATACTCAAATCCCAATATGAAGATCCTTAGATCCACTTAGAAAAAGAATCAAGAGAGACCAAAATCAATGAAGGAAAAAATAATTGAGTAGTTAAGGTATGACAATCAAGCAAAAAAATTAGAGACCAAAATATAAGGAAAATTGCAGAAAATCATCTTCTGCAATGTCTCCAATCAAAGTCATCACACAAAAGTAAAATAATATAAATAAAAGAAAAATACCTCATAAAATCTAGCCTAACCACAACACCCATCTTCCAAATGCTAAACTCCCTTGCATCATCTCCAAAATTAACAAAAACTTGCAAAAATAATACACACATGGTTTACAAACACTTGTGAATGAAATCAGAAATCTCTCAAAATGGAGCAAAGTATATAGATCATGGTTGCAGATCTTTCAGGATAGCAAAAGAAAAATGTAATGGGGTGGAGAGTGTAAAGAGTGGAAGCTAATAGAAGGAAAAGATGAGAGGTAGAAGGGATTGGTTGAGTTGGTGACAGAGAACAAAAGCAAAACATTAAGAAAGAGAAAAAAATTGAAAACAATGAATAGCAAAAAAATAAGGGTATAATTAGAATTTCAAGTCATTTAACTTAAGAAGGTGTAAAGCACGTGTCAAATACCGCCACCCCTTGTGGGAATGAGAAGAAATCTCAAGGTGTTGTATTGGGAAAAACAAAAACACTAGGTGGTTATGCGGGGAAAGCCTAAACTACAAGAGATGTATGTGGAGTTTATCCTTAATTTTTTTACTAATAGAATATCCATCAATTTATTGTTGGAAATGACAGGCTGAGGCAAAACAAAGGACTGCTCAGGTAAGGGCTAAGGGCATCATCTATAAGTGCAAGTCCCATTAACATGGAAAAATCAAAAGCTCAAACCATAAATTGAAGTTCCCTAAAAGTAAATGCAGCCAACAGCTTCAACAAATATAATTTCACAGTTTAAAGGAACAAAAGCAAAGGAATAACACTCAAAAGAAAACTTTTATGTAAAAAGTTAGAGAAAATCTTACAGGCCAAAAACTAGCAATTCATTTATCATGTATTGGAATAATTTAAATTTACTACCTATTCCAATATACATAAGCATATTAAGAAATGGAAATGTAAATTATATGGGCATCAAAATCAATGGTAACTTACTTAAGCCCACGATTAATTCCAGCAGCGCTTCTCAACTGACCAGCTCCAGGCCTGCATAATTACTTATCAGTGTACTTCTTGTAAAATGGAAAAAAAAAAAGGGGGGGGGGGGTTAAATTAATCAGCGAGAGAGAAAGAGAGAGAGAGCGAGCAGAAAAAAAAGAAGCAACCTACCAGTGACCACTAAACATAAAAATAGAAATATGCACACAGGCTTTATAAACAACATATAAACATAGCAACTGCTAAAAAAGATGAAATTTTGCCCACCATAAAAAGTACTTGATAGGAATAAAAAATACACAAAAATATGTGATAACAATCAGAAGAATGAAAGAAAAAATTACAAAAAAAAAAAGCATTTTCCATATGTAAAACCAAGCTATTTTCAACAACCGTTCCTACACACCATGTATCAATACTGTGTAAGCTATAAAAAAATAAATTATGAAAAATAAAATACAATGTTACTAAAGGTACATCAAAAACTTAAAAAGCTATGTTACATGGACTTGGGTACAGGTATCCAATACAGTTGGTGTCACTAACTAATCTTGAAAATTTCATACTCCAAGATTCAGCTCAAAAGTGTCCAAAAGTAGGATAAAAATACAAGGTCCCCTGCAAAAATTATTAGGGACTATAATATTACTGCTGAAAGTTAGAAAACCTGAAAAAAGTTGATGCACAAGTTTTAGACTCCAGCAAAACCATTTAAGCGTTTATAAGGGCCTAGTATAAGAAAAGTAAAAGCCTATCTTAACCCAAAACTAACATTAAGCTCAACTGTTTTTCTTCAGATTTTTACTGGGCTTATGATAATAGAATAACAATGCTATACAAGCTTCAATCATTCCTTTTTGGGAATGCAATCCAAAACCTGACTAAATAGCATAGGCCCTATCTCACGCACCGGTCCTTGTATCTAGAATCTTCTTCTTATCTCTTAATCTTCAATCTGTAATCCGATTATTATTTCCCTTTTCCCTTTCCTAATCCTCTCTCTCTCTCTCTCTCTCTCTCTCTCTCTCTCTCCCCCCCCCCATGTTCCTACAATCATTCCTCTTATGCTTCAACGCTGACTTCAGTTTGGCTGGGTATGATTCTTTTATGCTTAATTGGTAGATTAAGTATTTTTTAATCTTGCGGTTTTTCACATCCAACAATCTACCACTTAAGTCTCTCAAATTTGCTTTCTTCATTTGGTGTTACATTCAGCTTGTGTCAAGAAGAGAAGTCCATATGCCTAGCCACTGAATCACAAGCATATTTACATCTGTATGCCTGTTGTGTCGTGTTGCCTCTGGTGCCCTAAATGACAAATCAGTTTAACAGAAAAAACTAGGAAAAGCATTAACAGTGAGAAACATATCATCCTAATAGTAGGATCAGGCTTTTGCTGCAACAATGATCACAACTTAAAAAGAGTAACAGATATTTGACTAGAAATGAATATGCATTTCAGTAAATGAATTCAATTCACGATACAAAAAACTTATTGGTAGAATAAAACATAGAAAGAAAATCAGGAAGAATATGGAATCAAGTACATTATAACGGTCAAAGAAAATAAGGAAGAATGTAGAATCACTTACGTCATAACAACAGTCCTCTTCCTCCTTCCATTTATTCCAGTTACATTTACGCGAGCTGAAATAGGGACTTCGGCCTTGGCACTGACAATTTCAATTTTCATGGGTTTTCCATCCAACAGTACATTGTTATACCGCCTAAGAGCAGCAAATGCATCACTCCTTCTAAGATAAACAACTTCAGCTGAACCCTGAAAACAAAAATTAAAAACCATCCAAGTAAGAAACAATTGATACCTAAATATGAACCATGTAAAATACATGGTAAATCATATGAATGAGAAAATATCTATAACATTGAAAATTAGAATACAAAGAAAAAGGACTAATCAGAATCAAGATTTCATCACCAAACAAGCAAGAAAATAATACCACCCTTAAGCTTTGAGCACAACTTTACACATCCACACATGCACAAGGAACAAAAAAGGTAGGATGTGGGGTAGTCTCACACTGAATATGAACCGGAATTGACCCAAAAAAACAAAAAAGAGTGGGATCATTTAAGCCAGAAGAGAGAAAAAAAGAGAGAGATCCCAACTTCAAAAGTATTGTATCAATAACTGAAAGTTTCCGATAGTTTAGTCTTGACCACGAACTGAAATTTTGTATATTTCAACAAAAACCTTACATGCATAAAATAAACATAAAAGCGAACAGCATTCAATTATTCATCAATACAAACTTGTTGCAAAACATGCCAGGCTCCCATGAGTGCTTATACCCAACGATTTTTTTTTTTTATCAATAAGTACATGTAGGCTGGAAAGATAGCAGCGCCACTTGGCCAACATGAAAAATAGCCTGTAAATCTAAATAAATTCTAAAGAAATAAATCCTAGAGTTGTCATGATTTCAACAAGTAGTTGCTACAAGCTCTTGTTTCAATACCAAAAAAAAGAAAATATTTATTAATTAATCTTCCCAATTCATGCAGTAGAAATATCCTTCAGTTTTTTCAATGATTTCTATCACTACTCTAACAAAAATTTATGTCCTTTCAATATTTCAAGATGCCAAATCCTGTTAAGCAAGACTCAAGGGTATAATTATTTCAATAGAATATCAGAAGCAACTAGTATAAAGTACGAAACTTACACTTGGCCGACCGTTTTTATTGTAATGAACCGCATATCTTTTCAGCTCTCCAATTTCAGAGAAGAGTTCCTGAGATGTAAAAAATCAGGGTATTTCTGCAGAAAACTAACAAAATCCTTTTGCCCTAAAGTCATACATAAAGTTATTACTTTACCCTGATGTCTTCATTTGTGACTCCGATATTCAAGTTGGAAACATATAACTTGGTGCCAACTTCTACTCCTGATATCCCAGCAGCTCTAAGGCTGTCTTCAAACAAATCATGCTGCCATGGCAAGCTCCTGGTCCAGTGGGAAGACTAATGAAAGCAAACATAATGTGTCAGCTTATGACTCAATAGCCAGATCACCAGTCTCCAATATGAATCAAGATTAGCTATATTCCCATGGAACATTAAAACAAAGGTGCTAGCAGGAGAATCCAGTTTAGTAAAACCCTGAAGCAACCCAGCAATACATCAGCAGGATCAGCTACTGAACATGTATGGGAGTTAAGGATTAGACCACTTCATTTAAATCAGTGCTGACCATAGACAAGCACTCCAGTTAAGAAGGAAGCTCCTCAGCAAAAAGGCAACGAACAATATAAACTGAAATCTTGCATGGAAGAAATTCCAAGAACAGCAAGAGGATCATTGACAGATCCATCATAATTCCCGTCTAAGCAACCAGGCATCAGACGCTAACTTAATTAGAACTATACCATATGGTTCAGAAAATGGTAGAGCCATTAAATCTTTAAGGAATGATATGATAGTCATCAGAGCTCCATTTTAAAAATTTTAATGAAGCCGCATTGCATCTTAAAATTGCACAATTGCAGCACCAAAAACCTTGGTGAATATCCACAGATTAGAAACCCCAATAACCCACAAGGACATATAAATCAATATAAGAGGTTCCCAAAGGACAAAATAATGTCCAAGCAAAGGTTTGAGCTTGCCTTGGCAATGGAATGTTGGGATGGGCGGGCATTAACAGCAAGAGGACCTCGACGAGTAGCAAGGGTCATTCTTCCAGCACCACCAGCACCACCAGCAGCAGCAGAAGGTCTGCCACGGCGAAGCGGCCTGAGTCGTCCTCTGCCTCTCTCACTCTTATTTCGTTTTACCATATCATCCAGGGGCATATCCAGCGAGGTAGCCATTAAACAAAGCTATTCAATTAAAACAAAAGTAAAGAGTTGGATCCATTTGGAAAATATCATAGAAAAGTAAAGACGAAAAACCCTAACTCAATAAAACATACCCTAAAATCGCAGGGAAATTAAATAGAAAATTACCTGAAAATATGAGAACACTCCGCAGCTATTTAGACAAAAAGACAGAGTTAAAAGGGGTTTTACAGAATTTTTGCGACCTTGCCGTGTGTCTTTCCCAGGAAGTTCGAGAAGAAGACCCACACTTTCAAACTTTTTATATATTTTTGCTTAATATTAATATAATATATAAATAGCAAACAAAAATAAAACAAAATAACATTGTATCTAACTATTAAAACAAAATAACATTGTATCAAACTATATCAATATGTAAAATCTATAAAAATAAAAAAAAAACAAAAAATATATATATAGGGCAAGATTTTTATTCGACCGCAACAAAATTATATATTAATAAAATGAGAAAGATTAAAAGAAACGATAATAAATCAAACAGAAATATAATAGTTTAAATTAAGTAATTAGTAAAATATAAAAAAATAAATATAACAATTTAAATTAAGTGATTAGCAAAATAAGCAAAAAATTCAAATTAAATTGATTTATATTTTGAAAGATTTATTTATAATCATTAACTATAGAAATATGAACAAATTAAATTATTTATCAATTCATTTTAATTTAATCGGTTGTACAATATAAAAAGTTTTTCAAAATAAGTGGAATTTAAAAAGGTTTAACTAACTTTCTATATTCTATTTTTTATTAATATTAATTTAGTAAAAAAATAAATAATACTTGCAAAGATGTATTTTGAAATTGATATGATAACTTTTTATATTATTATTTAAATTAATTTATTCAAAAAATAAAATATTTAATATTTATATTTAATGTGTAAAAATTTAAAGTATTTAGTCCTTAATGAGCATATTGATTGTTTACAATCCCATATTTTAAAAAAAAAAAAATTTGTTTAATGCATAACTTTCTCTTGATTTAAATGTAATAAAATTAATATATTACATAAAATTTTAAAATAACAGCCTCCTAATTTTAACAGTATTATAAATATTTATTAAATGAGTTTAAAAAAATATATATCCATTTAAAAATATAACAAACAAGATACATAATTAAATCATTAATATTATAAATCTATATATATATATATATCAATGGAAGATTGACGCAAATAATTTAAATTTATGACCTAAATATAAAATACTCAAATTCTAACCTTAGGTCTCTCATTAATAGGTAATTTATAAATTTAAAAATTCTAAAAAAAATCTGTAAAATCCTTTATAAATTGTCTTAGGGATTGGTAAGAGGTTAACAGTTTACCCTAATCTTGAAAATAGAATAATTTTTCCTACCAATAATGTAAATGTGGGATTTGAATATTATATATTCTCATTAAATGCTTAATTTTTGAACAAATATTTATTTGTTAAAAAAAATTTGCTATCAAGTGTCCGTAGAGGATTTTTTAAGATTAATTAGTATGCTATTTATAAATAATTTTGTATGAAATATAACAATTTGTAATTTTATACATGATTTTCAATGCAACGAGTGAGGAAATTACTTTATAAAGTAATTTTAAATTACAAAAGCCTTTGTATCATGTGTAGAAAGTTACGTTATCATGCGATAAATGAATGTACTAAATTTTTTAATAAAATCTAAAAAATTATTATATTAATTTCAACGTTAACTCATGCTTTACAAAATTATTTTGTTTTGAAAGATAAACTAAAGAAAATTCTTCGACTATGTCTGGGCTTTCAATATTTTAATTTTTAAAAATTATAAGTTAATAATATCTATTTTAAATAACAATTTTTATTTTGAGATAAAGTTAATTTAAAACTCTATTGGGTTCATATTTACTATTCTATTTTTTATAAAATTTTATCATCCTATTATATTTTTTGATTATATTTTAGTCATAGATGAAAATATAATATTTCAATTAAATTAAAGAATACTTCATTAAGTATTTTAATTATTTTGTAATTTTTATTAAATGAAAAATAAACAAACATTATTTCAAATTCTAAATAAGGATAATAAATTAAAAATATAAATAATTAATTATTTTCTAAAAATACCAACAATGTCATTTTTTTCATTTAAAAAAATTAATATTGTTTGTCAAACTTTTTTTAATAAACAACTTATTTAAAAATGCCATTTATATAATTAGTGACATTGTTGATATTTTTTAAAATTTTAATTATTTTTATTTTATTTTATTATTTATATTATTATTTTTGTTATTAAATAAGTAACATTGTTTTTTATTTTTTATTTTTTCAAAATATTTGTTATTAAATATTTAATTATTTTATTTTTATTTAATTATTGATTTTATCCTTATTTGCTGTTAAATGTGTGACATTACTATTCTTTATTTGTTAAAATATTTGTTATTTTAAATGAAAATAAATAGCATTGTTGGAATTTTTAGAAAAAAAATAATTATTTTTATTCATATTATCCTTATTTAAATTTTGAAATAAAGTATTTTTACTTTTCATAAAAATAAAATTAAAAAATAATTAAAATTTTTAATAGAATATTCTTTAGTTTAAAGATAATATTCTATTTTCCTCTCTAGATGACTAAAATTGCATAAAAAATATAGTAAGATATTAAAATTATATAAAAAAATAAAATCATAAATGTGAAATACTAATGTATAAACGTTTAAAACTGGTTGTCATCCGTATGATTTTTTTCACTCCCACTTAGAATCCAACACTTTTCTCATGGTTATTTCAATAAATATTCAATAGATAAGCTTTGAAAATTAGCATAAAAGGGATTTGTAGCTTTTTTATTTATTTCTTCAATTACCACTCTTGTGAAATAAGGTGTAAATAAAATAGTAAATATCGAACATAAAAGATATATGTATAGATGGAAGGGAGAGACATAATAGCAATAAGAAAATGCAAGATACATGATGATAAACTTACCTCGTGGTACATGATAATTGCTTCTTTATCTAATATTTCGTTAGCATTCCTGCATTAGCAATTAACACAATTAACCACCAAGGTACATTTAACAAAAAATTGCATTTTCATCAATTTTATAAATATTATTTAATAACTAAACTATCTATCATGTCAACCTAAATATTAACTTTTTTTCTAAGAAAAAAAAAGACAAAATGGACCTTTCATTCCCCATGTAATGATAGTTATAATAGGAAAAAGAATTATTAAAACTTTGGAGGCTTTTAGATACCATAGGTGCAACACAAAATTAATGACATTGGCAAGATAGGCAAGAGAGACTATTTATGTCTTTAATTAGTTTAAAAAGAAAAATCTTTAATCAAAACAATACAAAACTAAAGTTGCAAGCTTCAATCTATTTTCTATGTGAATTGATAGAAAATCAATAAATCAGAGAATAATACTCCTTTTATATTAAAGTATTTAAGAAAATTACACTCCACATTTAAAAAATGATGAAACAAAGAATATATCAATCAAGGTAATGAATAATGTCATATTTTAAATTTCCTTGAATATGAGATTTACCTTTTTTCGCTACTTTGAATATGATCTTGATGACCTTAAAGAGATGAAACTTTTGTTAGTAAAGACTCCTACATAATTAAATATTTATGCACTTAATAGAAAAAGATGGAATTTTTTGGTTTCCTCCAATTGAAACATCTCACCTTCAATCACTTTTTTTATATCCAACAAATTTGTTGAACTGACAATATATAAGAATATAAGAAAGAATAAAAGGTGAATAGAAATTGAGGAACTTACTACTTTCCAACAACATACCGAGCATAAAAACAAAAAAAATCAATAAATACTGAGAAAAAAAATCTAATTCATCATGAGATGAAAAAAAAAAGCAAAAGATATAGTAATTTAAGATTCACAACAAGGACTAATTAAAACTAAAAAATAAATCCAAGAAAATGAAAAAAAAAACCATAAAAATCATTTCTTTATTTTTTTCTCTTTATTTTATTCTTTTACCCTTTTTTCTATTTTCTATTTTTTCTTTCATCTTCCCTGTTAATCTTTCTCTACTCTCTTTGTCTTAATTCTAATTATCATAAACTTGTTTCACTGTCAAAACAAGTATCCATAGATCCACCCAATTAATGGCTATTTTTTTTTCTCCATCTCTTTCTCAATCCCATTTCCCTTTCCCTTTGTCTTTTTTCATTTTTTTTTAAATAATGAAACTTTTAGAGCGTAATGTTGGTATTTGCTTTTCAAGCCAAATCATTTTTAGTTAAAACATTGTTATATTTGTGATATTTTGATATTTGATATCTAATAAAGGTCTTGATTGTTTTATCATTAAACTCATGAGCATATATTTTTATTGTCAATACTTACATGATAAAGTTCTCAGAATATAAACAAAACTTTGTAAGGGAATTATAATGAGATTGTAATTATGATATCATTATTGCATAAAAGTTATATGTTCCAAAATAGTTCCTAGTTGATGCTTTACCTATAAGAGTTAATTGACAAAAGCTGTTAAATTAGCACATGATTATACTCTTACTTATAAAGTAAGTAATCATTCTCGTAGGTTAAAGTTTGGATAAATTTGAGTTAACATCTAGGTGTTTATTGTAAGAACAAGTTCGCTGAATATAACCCAAGATGAAAATGCTATATGGTAGTTCACATAATATCTATAGCTATATTATTATATGATGGTTGTATAAATAATCCTTTAACTTGAGAGCTTATGATCTTATATGATGAATGTTATACTTTAACTTTACTTATGGTTCTAACCAAGATTGCTCTAGTCAAGTAAAGTTTGGTATAACATGAGGCATATGAAGATGCATGAAGTAATCAAAATGAAATTCATCACCTTGTGTGATCATAAAAATATCTTAATTAATCTTGATTAAATTTATTTAAAAACTATTTGACTAAAGTGGAATAAGAGTTTAGAATTGCTTTAAAGTTTATTTGTGAGTTAATGTCAAGGATAAGCTTAACATGGCTAAACAAAATTTAGTAAACACTAAACTATGCTCAATGTTCAAAAAATGATTAGTGATGAAAAGATATTAACTATACATCAAGATCATGCTCGAATAGGTTGTCAAGCCATATTTACTTTCTTAAACAATTAGAGTCATGACAATGTAGCTAACATTGATCATGATCTATTAACATAAAATTGACTAATTAGAGAATTAGTGATAAAGTCAAAAAGTTAATTCATCTAAACTGTCTATAAAGGAT